AAATTAAGTGTATTCTACAAAAGAAAAAAAAAAAAGAAAAACGAACAATTTCATTTTTCATTGTAAGCATTGCGATAAACGAACTATTTACAGATTCTTTCTTATGTGCAAATACTGTAGTACCTTTCGTACTAGGATAGCTAAGAGTTGAGCTAAAATTTGAAAATTGTGTTAAAGCATAAAGCTTCAGAATATACTTGACGAAAATTTTCATGATCCAATATATACAATTGCAGCCCTAACTCTGTAATGTAGAATGTCAAAGGTTATTAGTGAGTATTTCATTCGAATTTATCGAAACACAGCCCGCTGACATTAGTGCTATCAGTTCCGATATAATTCTTCTGCAATTGTCCCATTTCCATTGTGAAAACAAGTGGTTATTGGTGAAAGTCATCTTCGATGAGTTGATTGACGAACGCTTTCAAAGCAGCTGTCTTTCTAAGTGCATTCGTCTCAGACAGACTAAGCTTTAACTTTATTTTTTTCTACGAATATACACGTATTTGTTTGCTCGACGAAATAACAACTAATCGAAGCATACTCAAACATTCACCAGCATTTTGTTTTCAGCTATATTTTTCTGCTCAAATTTCAAATTTATATCAAGTGTCCCTCTCATCACTGATAGTTTAAAGTTCCATTTATCATTTTGCTTCTTTTTAAAATCATCTTTATTGAGTATCATTTACATAAAATTACTGCTTTGAATCTGTGTTAAATATATACATGGTATGCATCATTTTCCATGAATAATTACTTCAGCTTTTAAAAGTTGCTTTTTAAGAAGAGAATACCATAGTAACTTCATTTTTTTAAATAATAAATATATGTTCTGTAATATGAGAGCTAAAATCAGCTTCTCTTGCTATCGCACATTTGGATATGAATGCAATTAAAATACACCTGTAAGTTCTCTGTGAAAATTTTGATGATTGATGAACAAGTGACACGCTTTATTTTTACCCAAATATATCAGTCTAATATAACTTCCTTTTGTTTGCAAATCAAACAAGATAGTTTTGCACGCTTTCGAGCAAAATAGAATAGTAAATCAAATGGAGGAAGACGCTGAAATTGGACTTCGAAAGTTTTGCAGGTGGTAAAGTAATTGCGCATATTTGTTGGTTATTTGGTTTAATCAATTAACTGAGATCTGATAACGGTTTCATTTTAAGCCCATCCAAGAAAATGAACCTATCTTTACATTAAGATTTACTGCCCATTTCCTCCGCTTATTTCCCGGGAAAGAATGAATAATTTTGCTTCGGAAAATGATAATTTTCACGTCATTCTAGATATCAATTAAAGTATTCATCTAACTTCAACATGATATCTAAAGACAAATTTTTCCTGCTCCATTAATTTCATAGCTCTTCCATGAAAATAGATTAAGTTTAGATTCTTTTTTTTTAGATTTGGAATAAAAAGAAAACGGAAATAGATTTAGGAGAGGTTCTCACAAAATAAAGAAACGGAAAAAAGTCGTCCTTATGGATTTGCTTTATTGTTTCAGTCATTTTGTCGTTCATTTAGTCAGGTAATTAATTTGATCATATTCTTGTATATTATTCCAGCTAATTACCTTATTCTTCTTAATCATTTACAGATTAATTTAGTTCTTTATCTGTCACTTCGATTCAGTCTCATCCTTTTTGTATGAAAATTTCAGAATCAGATGGAAGTCGATTTCGGTTAAAAGACTGTTAGCACATCAAGCCTCAAGTGTTGTTAGCTAAATGACTGCTTGGTAACCACATGTCCGTTTCCCTACTTTATTTTAAAAATTTCCGTTTTCACTGCACACTTGTTCTCAACATTAGAACCAGTAAAATCCAGAATTTCACTTTTACAGAATTTCAGTAGGAATCAAAACTGCCTAATAACTTCTTTTTTTGCATTATTTTCATAGTGATTCTTGATTTGGGGATGTATGATATAAAATTATCAATCAAATTTATTCTTGTCTATTCCTTTTTACTTCATTTTTCTTCTGACAAATACACAAGCAAGGATCTTTTTTTCTGCTAATTTTTAACTTTTCAGACTGGAATTGGTATAAATACAATTCAAATAACTGTCAAACAAGTTTAATTTCAAAAAAATCGCCGCAAAAGTAAAATTATTTAGAAATGAATGGAATTATTTTTAGATGAGTCTGTGTAAAGTTATATGTTGTCAGAAAAAAGAACTTCACTTTAACTTCAAGCTTGAGAAAAGAATTCCAACCTTGATTTTATGTCGTGAATTTCCTTACTAGATGCATGCGATATGATGCAATGAATGTTGTAAATGGATGATTCACTTGGAACTGTAACAGTTTTGGAACTTGTGATTGGAACTGTAAAATCTTCATTGGCTGATCATTGCAAGTTCCCTAATTGAAACTTTATAAATTCCTAATTGAAATTGTTGTTTCAGACATAATCATGCGATAATTTCATGGATTCAGCCAAAAAAGACAGATGACTTAATAATTGCTACAGTCGATAGGCCAATCATTAAAGGGCAAGCAAGCATGACAAATTCGGCTATATTGTGAAACAAGTCACAGAAAGCAAACATTTCTCAAATTGATCTTGTCAGTAGTAAGAATTTTTTAGGTAAATAGACTAATCCAAATATGCATCGTCCTAATTTAACGTTGGGGACAAAATGCCAAGTGGTAAAAGCACGGTCAATTTAGAATCGTAATCGCAGTGTTTATGACGCACAGCAAATTTTAAAGTAATCTGACATCTGAGAGCACTTCGATAGCTATGTAATTCTTTGAGTTTTAAAAACTTATCCACTCCATTGCCTAGAAACGTAAACACTAGCATATGGTAGGTAAAAATCATCTTCGCTTCAAATCATTTCAATCATATAGTACTCGATTCTGCTCGTGGAACAACAAAGTATTATATAATTTTATACCCAAAATATTTGGCATTACTGTTGAAATTGTATAAAATAAAAAATAAATGGAAGGATTTAAAGCTTAAGTCCATAGCACATCATTTTCAGTAATATCACTAACAATTTCAGACGTTTCTTCTTCCTTTGTACAACATTTGAAAAACAGTACATTATAAGACAGTGTTTCCTATCAAAATTTGAATCTCGTTTTACGGATTAAGTTGATTCTAGTTCTATTTCAAATATGCTTCTTCATGGAAACCATATGTTAAAACAGTATACTATTACGCACTCTTCACTTTATAAGTAAAAGAATGAATATGTTGAGCTGAGGTTTAATTTCAGGATGAGCCGATGAATCAGAAGAAGTAGTATATAGTGTACCGTTATACCTTTCTTACTCCTGATTAGTTATGAAGTTAGTTTTTAGCGGCAAAAACTTGTGAACAGATGAAAATGGAAGAAAGTAATCACCAACCATCTGGTGTCAGAAAAGGTAAACAACATCATTTAGAAAGGACGTTCTTTTCCTAACAGTGTAGCTAATGAGTTTTAGGAAGATATGATCAAATTTATCATCAGAACCTTCTTTAAGTTAATTTTTCATTCGTTGTTATTTCTAATACTTTTTTTCTTTTTGTTTTGACTCTTTTTCAATACCATAAATGTTAGTTCGTAGGATTTTCACTATAACAGTAACTTGGCTTTCATTTACCTCCGCCACTTTAATCTGAATTGTAATTCTTCTATTCATATTGCAGAATTTTCCCAGTCGATGCAGCTGAACATTGCACAAGTATGGCCGTGTCGGTTTTGCGCTATAATGCTTGGTATTTGTCATTTAACACTTGGGATTATATTACTTATATTCGATGTCGTCACCAATAATATCTCGGAAACAGCTTTTGCTGTAACAGCATCACTGTTATTTATCGTCTGCGGAATTTTCTCATTTATTTCGGCAAGGTTAAAATTCTCTCTCTAATAGAAAAAGCCAATACAAATATTACAGGATTATCCAAAACGGGCATTTCACTGTGTCCAAAATGGACAAATATCTTGACACTTGATCAATTTCAATTCTGACCCACCCAACTACGTTAAAAATAAACTGAAATATTAACCAAAAGTAGTTTCAGGAGGTTAGATCGACCAGCGCAATTATTATTGTTGTTTTTTTCAATATTTTCCATGGCAATGAGTATAACAATGTTTGTGGACAGTGCCGCTTTAATAAATTACAACTGCGATCGGGACGAGTGCCATGGAGCAGTAACTAACGTCCACGTTGTTCTCCTATGCTTCGGTCTAATCAAATGTTAGTTGGATCATTTTATGAATTATCTCTAAGAAAATTACAACTTATGCTAAATAATCAGTTCTTCTTTGAAACTCTTCCTCCCTTTTCCCCATTATTTGTTACCATTGTGAGGTTGTAATACTTCGCCTATCAGTTTTGAATATGCAGAAAAAATTGCAAATTTTGATTAATAACTTTACATTAGTTAATATCAGTGAACATTGCAAAGAAATTTACAGCACATTTCCCTTATTCTCTAAAAACTGTGACGTAAAATACAATATAATTTCATGCGGAAATCCGCATTAATTGAAAACTTCATTTTCGTATATACGTAAGTGTGCAGGCTTACGTACGTGTGTGTAAGTGTGCAGAAGGAGGATGGGAATATTTCTCAGTGGTAACTAATCTGGTTATTGCCATGGTAGTTATAAAATGTCATAAAAGTTGATAACTGAGTATCAGATTTAGTTGAATTGCGGTAAGATTTATGACGGATTAAGAAAAAACCCACACTGATGTCCAACAGTAAATATATCAAATTCCGGGTCTTGCGTAATGTTGAAAAATTTGGATTTTTCTGATTTTCATCCGGGCAAAAATTTTATTTATTATAATCAAAATTACTATTTTAACAAACAGAAGCGAATTTCAGTTACAGTAAGTATTGCGACAATGATTGTTTGTTTTCGATCATTGAGACATGCTTATCGAGTAAGAAAAGCAAGTTCGCCGTATAGCACATTGATCGAAGGGCACTATGATGCCTTTTATATTACGCCAAGGTTTTTCTTTCCTTTTTTTTCTCAAGTCATTATTGACAGAGTATACAAGTAAGAATGGCTTTTAACAAAATGCTTTTTATTTCTTTCTCATCGTCAGAGAGGTTGTAATGTTTAGTCTGAAGAAACTGCCGGTTCAACCAGACGAGCTCTTCGTTTCTTGAGTAGCCAAATATGTGCATAAAGTTAGTAGAAATAGGAAGAAAAATATTGCTTTTTTATAGGAAAATGAGTGTCCACAAAAAGACCTCGAAATGCAGGAGTATGTCTTCAGGTGATCAAAGACTTCGATAACAATACTGTGCTTTGTGATAATCTTTCATGTCAATAAATTAAAACACACTGAACAAAATCATTTGTAACACCTTTTATCTAATGAAAATGATTCAGGTCAGTTGAGGTTCTGGTAAATGATCATACCAGTAGAACTTAGTAAGCAGGTCGAAATCGTGTATGAACTTCTAAATCAGAGGTGGACTCCCTTAAATTTCTTGAGGTGCAAGATAACGTCACAATTTCATTTTCACACAAATAGTTGATTTGGAAATCAGTGTAACTAACCTTCAGAAAACAGCATTTCTAGGTATTCTGGAAACTCGCTCAGTAATTCATTTAACTTTCATGGACCTGATGAGGACAAAATGTAATTTACCACTTCAGCCAGTACCATTGTCGGAAAAACGAA